TTGGCTGTGCTGTTTTGACACTCTTTGTTGCTTTTTATTTTTTAATTTTTATTTTTTTTTCCCTTTTGTTTAATGTTTAATTTCTTTTCCTCCAGCCTGGTCGATGTGTTTTTCGATATTGTTTTCCGTCCGCTGTTTTCTTCTCTCTCTTGCGCAGAGACTGGTACTGATGAACATGCCCGTGGCCGAGGACATGACGGTCCATTTTACCTCCACCTTGATGGCTCTGATACGCACAGCCTTGGACATCAAAATTGCCAAAGGTAAGGTCGGTGAGGTAGAGAGGGGGCAGAGCCAGGAGGCCTTCAGAGTGACTGGCACTCATCCTTTGCGCAGGCTGAGGATACCACAGCCAAACTGGGGCTGGCCACCCAGAGGCTGGCACGTGGATGGAAGTGATTACCTTGAACAGGGAAATTTCTGCTGCTCTTGATAAAAAAAATCTGTTTCTTTAGGGAAGAGATGACCTCTTCCCACTAGAAGCTGCTTCCAGAGAGCGGAAACAGCTCGATGTCCACTGCGTAAAGGAGGAGAGAAGAGAATTCTCCTTCCTCCCCATGTACAAAACCAGACCAAGGAGGGAAAAGATTGTATGTGCTTGGCTTCCTAAGGCTGGGGAACAGAAATCTCTCAGGGAAGATAAAATGTTCAGAGCAGGAAAACCTGCTTTGTTGTTGTTGCTGGAAACGCTCTGATTCATCGGATCAAAAGCTTTCTGCAGAAACATGCCATTTTCAACAAAACGTCCCCTAGGAACAGCTCAGCTCTTGGAAGAAAACCCAACCCAAGGCAAGATATCGGCAAAAGCCCAGTGCCGAGGCAGCGCCTTGGGTTCAAGCCCCTCTAGATAAAGCAGAGGTTTGAACCTGGGTCTCCTACAGCTTGGCAGAATTGCCCCGGGCTCGGGTGTCTCCGGTTGGTGTGTGTTGCCAGCTCCCTTTGAGCCTGGGTGTTCCTAAGCTCAGCAAATCCCTTTGCCACTGGCCAGAGCGCTCTGCTTTCCTTGCACGGCATCGTTGAGTATTTCAGGATTTCAACCAAGTGGAGCTGCACTTTCACCAGCACATGATCTGCTCACCAGAAAAGAGAAAGTGGGGCAGCAGCAGGTGTGTGTGGGCTGGAGTAGGCTTGGAGCCGCAGAGACGGACCCAAGGCGAGCTTGAAGATGGCAGCTTTGAGTGGGAGGGCAGGGGATGGGGAGATGGAGGCACATATGGAAGGGATGGTAGGGAAGTTTCCCTGAGAGAGCGGGAGACCAGGCTCGCTAATGCAAGATGGCCCTCCCAGCCCAAGGAGAGCTGGTTGCTGCTTGTGAACCTCACTTCAGGATGGGGAAGGGGTGTTTTTACTTAGACCCTGGTGCCAGGTCTTAATGTACATGGGCCACTTTTTTTTCCCCCTGCTGTTCAAGGTGGTGCAGATTGGCAGCAGTTAGACTCCGAGCTTCAAAAGGAGATCCTGACAATTTGGCCTCACCTGTCTCAGAAGATGCTTGACCTGTTGGTACCCATGCCAAAAAGTGAGTCTCTGTGTGGGCTGTCATCGCTGCCAAGTTTCCATCATACCTGCAGTAGTTTTTTCCCAAAGGGAGGTGGGGACCAGTCAGACCTGTCCCCAGCTGGGGGAAAAGTCTGAAGAGGGTTTGTGTTGCTGCAGGCTGGCTTCTGCCTTGCTCTGCCTGGCTGCTTGGGAACCCTCTTGAAAAATGCCCAGTTTGCAGTGATCTACTCCTGCCAAGCCCAGAGTCTCCTGTGAATCATCTCTGGAGCGGCTAAGGGCAGGAGGCTGAGCATCACTTGCTCTGTTACTGGTGATGATGTGATGAAGATGGGTGTCTTCGTGCTTTATGGTGATGCTTTTAAACCATCTCCATTCATTCTATCTCCATGTGGAGTGTCTGGGTGTTCATCTCTCTTTCGGAGCGGTGAGCAGACTTTGAGGGTCACCAGGGTATCCCACAAGCAGGGCTCTTCCCGAGATCCGCGCTGGTGCCTTCAGACCTGCTGTTCCTGTTAAGACAAAAGTGTCTCCCACCTTCTTTCCCTTCTTATGCTCTCAGCCTCTGACCTGACTGTTGGCAAAATATATGCAGCCATGATGATCATGGATTACTACAAGCAGAGCAAAGCGAAGAAGCAGCGGCAGCAGCTGGAGGAGCAGGTGAGGCTCAGCGAGGCTGCACGGTGGGCGGGAGGTGGCGTTCAGAGAACCCTCGTTGTTTCCTGCTACATCCTGACCAAATGCGCCGCCAGCTGCATGGGATGCAGCTGAGGGATGGGGATGGTGGGACGGGTTGGGCTTTGGTGACTACGAGGCATGCGTATGTGCATCCTCAGTCCCCGACAGCAAACGTGAGCACACTGGCACCTTCCCAAGAGGTGGGGGCTTGCTTGGTGAAGCACTGGCTGTTCATCTGTATTTCATAAAGGCTCAGCTTCTCCCTTTCCTCAATACAGAAAAATGCCCCCATGTTCCAGCGCATGGAACCATCCTCTTTGCCGCAGGAAATCATCTCAAACGCAAAGGCTCTGCCTTACCTCCAGCAGGACACCCTCTCGGGCCTGTGAGTATTGCCCTGAGAAGGAGGGAGGTATTTCTGTTGCTTTTCTGTTCCTGCAGCCATCATTTTGTTTTCTGGACCTGGCACTGGAATGGACAGAGGGTTAAAGAGCTGCCGAGAGCAAGGGGAACCCTGCACAAAGCTTTTGCAGGACCCAAAGTACCTGGTGTGTGTCAGTGTCACCAACAGCAGCAGAGGTGGCCAAGGGGGATGGCCAGGTGTCTGCATGGATGCTCTTCTTGCAGTACCATCCTGGCACTAAGTGCAAATTCTCTTACCTAGGAGGGTCTGGGATGGACCTGAACCTCAAGGGCAGTTGAGCAGCAGGTCCCTGGGTGGTGCAGGGTCAGTGGGGGATTCCAGCACCCTGGCTGGTGGGAATGAGATGGTGGGAGTTGCTGGCGCTGCACTTGAGATGGCCCCACTGCTGCTGCAGGACCTGGGACGCTGGTGTCCTCACCTGCCCAGGCACCACTTCAGCTGTCCAAGGAACATGATGTTTGTCTTGAGGTTCTCAACAGCCTGGGGGGACAAGCACAGGGGATCCCCAGCTCTGAGCTGCTGGAGAGGCCATGCCCAGTGATGGCAGCACCCAGCTTGTGGCCTTCCTGAAGCTGGACTCTCTTTGCAGGAGCAGCCGGAGCGGGTTCCCCTCGCTAAGCCCGCTCTCGCCACAGGAGATCTTCCAGCTGGCATGCATGGATCCGGCCCATGGGCAGTTCCAGGAGCACCAGTCTCTGGTAAAGTCACTCACTGCCTGGCAGGCGCTTGCCTGTGGTCCCAGCGAGGACACTGGTGGGCACGGGGAGGTGTGGGGCTGCCAGCACGCTCCCTGCCACTGTGGCAGGGAGCACGGCAGGGGGGTGGCAGGTGGCGGGGC